CCCTCCCGGGGTCCCGCCTCCCCGGGCGCTGGCCACCTCGGATCGCTGCGTGGTGCCACCTACTGCCCGCGCCCGGAACCGACGAGGGCTGGGAAGTCCTGAACAGTCAATGAATTAAGACAATTTCATTGAAGCAACACCAGATCTTTTTATTTAAAATTGTTGGCAGGACCCACTGCAGGCACCACCGGCCGCGGAAGCCGTTGCACCAGACCCCCGCTCCCGGAAGGCAAGGAAGGGTCTCCTTTACCAGGCTGCGGACCGCGCCCAGCCGGAGGAACACCTCTTGCTGAGGGATTCCCTCCACTGTTAGGAGAAAATCACCGTGTTTATTTTGGACACTGATAAATAATTTTGTCAAAGAGCATTAATTTAACAGATTAACCAGTCAAAAATTGTTATGGTTAATAATTCTGTCTACGTTTTTAAACGTTTGAAACATGTATATTAAATTTAAGCTACAAGGGTAAGGGAGATTTCTCCTGATTGTGTCCCTCATCCTTTTATTATAGCAGTTGTGTTAAATTAGGGTTTTACCCCCTCTACATTGTTTTAAGTTTTAAAGAAAACTCAATTGTCCTGATACCTTTTTCATGTTCTATATAATTTTGAGCAGCATCACATTCTGGAAATTCATTTCCAGTATCCATTTCCTCCCTGCTATTCCAGGAAATAATGTTTATTTTTAAGTAGCACCAATTATCTGTTTTGCTACTTAGAATTAAAACTTATTTTGTTTCACTAGTGCAACTTATTCTGGCTTTCATACTATGGCTGTTGAGATATGAAAATAAAAATAAAGCATTCTTGCTGAAGTCATGGCAGGTTGAAGTCAACACGAAACCCTACATTTTGGTGCATGCCTGAAAACAAGGTGCCAGCCACCTGCAGCTCTGTCACCCAGGGTGTATGTGGAGCAGGAATGCTGTCCCAGCGTACAGCCCCCTATGCTGACAGCAGGCTTTGGACACAATCCACAGCCCTTTCTGGAATCCGCAGCAACATCCATGCTAACAAATCAAGATTTTGTCTTTCATGACAACCAAAATGTAGTTTATCAGGTTAACAGATAAAGTAGAATTTGAGTGCTAAGCAGCAGCGGTCGATGAAAAGATTAGAGGTGAAAATACCAAAGGTAAAAACCCAGCTGTGGGTGGGATCAAGGAGCAGGGACCCAGGGCTGGGACAAGGACCTGGCTCTCTCCTGCAGAGCCGCACAGCAGGAGCATCCTTGTCTTGCCATGCATTGTTCATTCACTCTGGGAATGTGTATCTGTGCACCCTAAGTTCCCTTTGGGAGGAACAGCAGTGTACTTAAACCCCAGCTTCTGTGCTGGTTGCCGGGCTTCTGGCTTTCAGCTACGCTGCTCCCTGACTCCTCTTTCTACTTCTCCTTCACTTACGTCTTTTGACGTAAGAATTTTGAAGAATTTGCCCTTTTGCCTCTAGACCAGGAGCTCCAGGCCTCTGGTTGCCCTTGACAATCAGAGAGCCAGTGAGTCAGTTTTCAGCGAGTCCCAGTTTCTGACCCAGTCCCTGAACAATGGGCTCGGGGGCTCCAGTGGGTGGAGCCCAGGCGTCCATGGTTAACACCATGGCCAGTGAGGTCACTATGGGCTCAATGCGTGTCTTCCCAAAACTCACACATTCAAAACCTATCCACCGATATGAAGCTCTGATAAGGGAGGGCTCTGGGGAGGAGAGAGAGAAGAATCCCAGGAAAAGAGTCAAGGACCACTTTCCTTCATGTGAAAGGATGCAATGAGGAGGAACCATCGATGGGCCTCCAGCCTCCAGCAGCCACTGGACCTCAGGCAACTTGGTATTGAACTGTGATCATGTTAACACCAGTGGATGCTTGCGCCCACCCACCGCAGAGCTGCAGGCACCATTGTCACCTACAAGTTGTGCAGGCTGCAGTGCTTGTTTCTTTCATTTTATTTTTATTATAAGTTTACAGTACACCATGAACACATGTATTGTGGGTAGCTGATATATGTGCACGATGCATTTTATTTCTTCTTGTACCCAGTCCTCCCCTTCCCTTTCCCTCCATCTCCCTCTTCCCGTTTGCCAAAGATCTACCTTTTTCACAGCAGCCTGGACTAAGGCAGAAGGCAAGATCAACATTACCCCAATACAGAGCCTTGTAGTCAGAGGAGGCCATGGATCTGAAGCATCCACATTACCTAGAAACTCCCTGAAATAATGGACTGAAAGCCATGCACAGCAGCACATGCCTGTAATCCCAGCACTCAGGAGGCTGAGGAGGGAGGATCACCATGAGTTTGAGAGAAGTCTCAACTACATAGTAAGCTAGGGTCAACCTGAGCTACGTAGCAAGACCTTATCTCATAAGGATAACAGACTTGAAAGCCACAGCTATTGAGTGGAATCACCAGTGATGTTTCTGGTAGCCTGTGAAATCCCAGCCTACTGAACCACGTCCCCATTCCCTGAGTCAGTAGGTCCAGGGTGAGGTCCCTGGCAATTGGGATTCTGTGAGCTCTGCCCCCAGGTGGGTAAACCCTGAAACAAACAACCTGACCTGCTCCATGCCTAGGTGGAGGAACCAAAACTAAGGCAAGTGCACATTCGCTAAGACAGAAAAAAACTAGCTCAGCCACCAAGCCATGCCACTCAGTTTGAGAAAGCCTGGTCCTTGTTCTGGACTTACACCTACCCCAGTCCTGAGCGGATAGGAGAAGACCCCCTTCGGCCAGGTGTTCATGGTGCCTCTGAGCTAGGATTGCACAAGCTTGTTCTTGCCCTGTGCTCAAATTATGAGTGGACAATCACTTCCCACACCCAGTGTGTGGCTTGAGGATCAGAAGCCTTTTGTCCAGCAGCCTGCTAGGCAAGAGCAGCCCCTGCAGCATCCAGGGGAGAGGGGCACCCTGGCAGAGTCCCCAGCCCTCGGTGGCACCCTGCGGTCACCTTTGTGAACTGTGCAAACTGCAGTGTCCAGCCTGTATTCCCTCCGTCCCTGTGAGGATCTGCACCTCTGTGTACAACTTGAGTCTTCCGAGCACCCGTAATCACCAATGAAGAGCCCACACCAGATCCTAGAGAGGTCCTGAGTGAGCAGATATGAAATCACTGAAAAGATACACCTTGGAGCCACATTCTTCAAGGGCCACCTTTTCCTTTTATCCAGACGGCAGGGGGTCTGGGGACTGGAAATCTCAACTCCTGGGAAAAGTCCTTAGGATGCTCATGGCAGCTCCATGCTGGACCTCTGGATGAAGAAACTCTGAAAGTGAAGCTCAGTAATCTGCATTTCAACCAACAGCCAGGGTAAATCTGAGGCAGAGTGCAGTCTGAAACTCACTGCACTACAATCTGTGGATTTTGATTTTATTTTTGGCAAATGCCATGAACACATAGCTCCAATAAGTTGTTGATAGGTGTGTTTTGAAATGTTGTGAAAGAGCATAGACCCATGTCCAGTGATGTTTCTGGTAGCAAAGACTGACAGATTCCTGGGCTAGCACTGTCAGGGTTCCTGAGGGCCCCTACCTCTGGTACCATCCCTGCTAAGGTTCCACCACATGGAGTGGAGTCGTGGACTCTGCTCCCCACAGGACACACTCTTCCCACAGTACAGAGGTCCACTTGTGGGCTGGCCCAGGCCCTCTGTTGGCCTGCAGCTCTAGTGTCTGAGTCTGAGACCTGCAGGGGCTCTGTCTAGGCCCATAGCAGCCAGGCCTCACCAGCCGAGAGCTCAGCCACACAGGACCAAAGCTCCACTGATCTGGGTGGAGGAACCCCAAGCCCAAGGCCAGAAAGGCTGCCTTCAGACAGGAAACCAAAATGGAATCTTCCTTTGAGGTTCACCTCTGAGTTTGTGGGTGCCCACACAAGAGCTATGCGGCTGGACTGGCCCTTCAGGAACAGCCTGCCTGGAGACGCTCCTGAGTTGCTTCCTGTGAGGGAACATTCTTTCCCATGTGTGCAGCAGTTCCTTCTTCACCAGGTCAGCAGAAACGCTTCAGACACAGGTCCTGGCACCCCATCTTCTTCTTCTTCTTCTTTTTTTTTTTTTTTCGGAACCGGGGATTGAACTCAGGCCCTTGTGCTTGCCAGGGAAGTGCTTATTCCACTGAGCCATCTCCCCGGCCCCTC